ATATGTTAGTCGGGTTAAAGGGGAATATTCGATTTCGGAGACCAAATAAGTCTAGTGTCAGTATATATGCCTTGCCTATCGTATAAACAAAGAACATTGTTTAAAATTGTAGAGATCCCTAAATGACACAATACTTTTTGAGGCTTTCAAAAGTCGGAAAATAACAATGCGTGCAATGAAAACTTGAACAATAACAAAAGTCCCATTCCAAATAGACCATTATTCAGTCTCTCAATAACCAATCATTCGTATATAACTGAAAGTAAAATTGGGTGTTGAAGAATAAGTATAGTTCATCTAATGACGACACCAACTCCGTTGGTGAAACGCACATCGAAAAGAGTGGTGCAATTCTGGTTTGTGGGAACACTGTTTTTTTAAAGTCACAAAATGCTGAAAGTGGCATGACAATTCTCTGTTGAGCATACCCAGATTGCCAACTTCTGTCTTTTAGACATCATTTTGTTTTCCTACTTGGGACTTGATATTCGAGATGGATACGACCAATTATCACAACATTGGCCATTAGGTTACCAAAAAATCTAGCAGCTAACGAAGCCCATCCATTCTACTTTTTCGATCAATTCAAGTATTTTTAATATTTCACTTGGTCACTGTGTTCCCTTATCCCAGAGTTTGAAGATTAACATAAGTAATGACATATCATCTTTGTGGGTGTTAGATTTTAATAAGTGTTGTGTAACTTATCACGGTAGGTATGGAGGGTATACGTTAGTTGTAATGGATGCGTCAGATTCTACAATTGTAAACTATACTACCAGACTATAGTGAAGACAATTAGTGAAAACTGCAGTGTATAGTGTGTATCCTATAGTACCTATGATATTTTGTTGAACCTTTGTGTTGTACCTAATTTGTAACATAGTTAAGAGACGTTTGTTCTTGTTGTTGATTTTCTTTAAATAACTTAATAAGAAATCAATAGGCACAGAGTTATTTGAAGAAAACGTTTACATTATCTGGATGTATTGAACTTTGTAATATAACATTTTATTTATGTACATTGGGACGAATAAAATCAAATGGAATTACCAATTTTATTTAGAAATCAGCGTGGCTCTATTTTGATACTGTAAAAAATAGCCACATCAAAGATAAATCGTTGACGTCTTATGTAAGATGTATTATATATAAAAGTGATCAAGAAATAACACAATTATTATAATAGCCACATTGTCGTTTCAGAATTCCTGTGCCAGAAGTACGGAACTGAAAAATATATACAAATGTCAATCATTGTCTGTGCATTTTCTAAGAAAATGTTCAAATGGGAACGTCAAAAGTTATTGATCAGATAGAATGATTTGAATTTGGTTTTACAGCATCAACAAACTTCAGTGTAGTTGAATTTTCAAGACGTAATTTGTTGCAGTTTTCAACAATCAAACTGTAAAGCGATTTGGGAAACAATTTTCCAATCTTCAAAAATATATATAAAAATCAACTTAACACTCAATCCAAAGGTTTCTATAAACTACATTGATGGAAATATGTTAAATCGCACATTTCACTTTTCTAGCTCTCTTAGCTGTAAATTACTCCTTTCAGAAAAACAAATATTTCAATGAACAGCCATTGAGGCCAAATTCAGTTTTTTCCAGTTGACTTTTTTTTAATAAAATATCATCGTTTAAGAGTTGAAGAAGACCTTTTTGCTGTACTAGTAGTAGCACGCAGTTGGGGCAATATTTTCAACAAGAAATGCAAGTTGGAAAATATATGAGCAATCAATAAGAGCCTCTCTTGAACAATTTGATCAACTAACTTCCTCTTCATTTTTACATATGATTTTCCACATATGAATATCCGATTGACTGTGTCCAAGTCCTCAGATGTTTCCCACAAAACGAAAGTATCAACATTGTATTCAGTCTCCATCGAAGAACGCACTGAAGGAAGGTATAAGGAGCATAAAATTATCGAGAAATTAAATTGTAACTGTAATACAAAAATATGCTTTCGTTTAATGATGTGAGGAAATCTTTTTTCCAACTTGAAAATTTTACGAAACACAGAAGAAACTAAAACACAAGTTTTAGTTTTATGTGTTAAAAAAGCCAAAGCCAAAGTCAAAGTTAGTGGATTTTTCTTTTAATAAAAATAATATATTTATTATCCTCTTTCAGTCTAACTATCAATAAGAGTTGCATTTTTCATTAGTATACAGTGCTTCAACTCGTGGAGAAATATCAAACTCAAAGAGCATAGCTGAAGTTTAACGAAAAGTATCCCCGGTCAAAATTCAATTATAACAGTGGACCAATCTTATTTTGATTTTTGCAAAGCACGATTTCTCATTTTTTCATCAAAGTTTTCGTGAGGTTCTGAATCCCTATAAACCCTCTGAGTACGACCTTGAGAATTTTTTGAGAAGGCAAATAGCTAGAGGTAATGTGTAGTATTTTCGTTGTAATATTTTCATTGGAAATGTATTTGCTTGAAAGAACTTTGAACAGATCTCCATACATACATCAACAATAAATTGACAATCACGGGAAATTGGAATAATATTTCACACAAAAATTAATTGAAATATTGATCGTGTTATATTCTTGATTACTGAATTATACATATATACCTATTTATTGCTGCTACGCATGAGAATGTGACTGCGTGTATGAACACGCCAATAATTATACAAAATGAAACCTAGATTAATATATTGTAGGAAATGGAATTGAATAAAGACAGTTACAGTGACTCATGAGTTTTATTTTTTTCGTCAGGTAACGTTCCAATGATTCCTAGGTAACTTTTTTCAAAATAATTTTCGATTTACTTCTTATAATAACATGGATTTTGAAAAAGTAGAATGAAAACCTCTAAGAAATACGAATTGCCATATTATTGGGGACAGAATTTTCCAGTTTATCTTCAATTCAATTGTAAGGTGATCTGAGCGAGAGCTGACAAATTTTTTCAAAAGTGAGTTTTGAATAACACAATTTAGATTTAGAGGCATTTCAGTTACACTATCTAGATAATTTACAGATAATTTATGTGGAGATTTCTTTACTTTCAGAGAATGCCAAAGAAAGTTTTGCAATATCAAAAAATTTGACATTTGTGGGTATAGTCACATCAACAATATTGACATGGACCCCCGTCCCCCCTCTTAACTTTCGAACGGGGTAAGACATCATATCATGGTCGGACAAAATTTTTCTAAAAAGGAATCATTTTTGGTATTTTTTATTAAAAATCCGATATTGTGACATCACTTACCGCCGAGAGGACGTTAATGAATGTCCATAGTAAAGAGAAATAAAATAGTAACATCTTTTTCAAAGGATAAGTGTTCGTTTCAATGACATAGAATGATAGCATTTCATTTCTAAAAAGGATGGCTTATGCAATTCATTTTTAACGAATAATAATAATCATCCACCAACAGCTTCATAATATAATATTAGTGTTCACAGTTAGATAAAAAATAGGTACGAAATAAAACCTAAATATAGTTTAAACTGATTTGAGTATAAACTCTGCAACCAGTAGAGATCTGTTGGTGACTATTATTGAAGTAATAAACAAAGAATTTTTTTGGTTCTCATATATTTCCAAATAAATAATAAAGTAATCATTAAAAAATCAGGGTCTGCAAATTGGCTCAGAATACCTACCTCAATATATTCTTCTATTCAACTCAAATGATTCATTCTTTTACAAGATGTTAACAGATGATGGGTCAATTCTGATCAGTTTTTTTTTTAATGAAACACCCCATTTATTGTGAATCCATGATGAATGATTCTTAATTTCCTTTCAAATGATGTTTGTTGTTCCTACATCTTCTATTGAACAAATAAAATTTCCAATTTGAAGAAAAAACGCTCTACACACTGTATATATGTATATCAAATAAATTCCACTTCTTGCCTCAGTACTTGAAGGGCCACCTAATAATGATGAAGAAAACTAAATCGACTCCTAACAGAGTTCTTCAGTGGTCTGAAGAATTTCATTTGTCACATGAAGATGGACACACCTATAAATCTACTCTCAAGTCGAAAACATACTAAACTTTGTATCGGCGACCAGGCCAAGTCTTGAACATGAACTTACTTTCAAAATATCAATCTTTCGATTGTTTTCATTTTTCCTCGATAGCCGGATTTTACAAAGATAAAATGGTTTGCTTTTCCCTTGTTGGGCTTTTGCTCACGAGATGGAGCTGGCACTTCAAATCGAAGACAGCAGAAAGAACGAGTATCTAAGATTCGGGGTCTCAGTTCGAATAATTCTAGGATGGTTCAAAATATTAATAGTTAATAGGTATTTACCCAGTTGATTATTGAAATTAGACTCGCGTAAAACTTTTGAGTCTCAAGTGAGCGACTGCATATAACAATTCGAAAATCATTCAAATAGGAACCCAAATGGGGCTATTGAAACCCTGGTGCTAACCGATTCGCTTTTATTTTGTCAAAACTTTTAACGCGAGAAATGAGATTGGCCAAACTTTGTACACATTTATGGTGAAAGAATTGAAATCTGTTGAACATATTTTAGCCAAATCTTTATGAACCATAATGTAAAAAAACGTTTAGGTAATATCACTGTATTCTCAAGTGTAAACTACATTGAAAAATCAGGGGAAACATAATAACTGGTGTCAAGGACCATTTTCATATATCCAGTTTCGTAGACTGGAGAAGTCTAATGTCGATATGCCTTATATGCCTTAAAGTACAACCTCAGAATATGTTAGATACTCATGAAATTGTTGAGGCTGATACAAAACAACAGGTTTTCAGACACCTTCGAAAGTTCAGAGATAGGAAAATGCAGAATCCGATCTATATGAACATCGACGAAGGTCCCATTCCAACCATCCCGTTATTTACTCTCTTAAGTAATGATTACAAGAAGAAAGCAGGGAAATGTTAGGTATCATAGCTATTAAGAATTACGATACAATAACAAACTAACCCAATAATCAGTACTGAGAACCCTTTCTGACAAATTAATACAAAAAATAAAACAAATTACTTTATTCACATTATAATTTCCAATAGGCTCATACTAATACTTTCTATAAACAAGGCACTGTTTTAGTATCTTTGAAAAAAATACATGTAAACATTATATATTATAAGGTCCCAAGTACACAAAGGAATACAGAACAGAATCAAGTTTCAGTTTAGCCATATTTGAAAACTGATCAAACTTCAAGAACAACTTTCAAATAGAACTTGGTGCATAGTTACCAAATATATCTGCATTCATTCGTTCATTTCCTATTATTCAACCATAAAAAAAGACTTTTCCATATCTCAACCAAAATCGGCATTTTTTTATTTTCTCAAATTACTTAAAATGCAGATTCTGTCTGGATTTCATTTCCACTCATAAAGTATAAATACCGACAGATAAACTACAAATACCAGCAAAAAAACATCAAAGGCTTTGGAAAAGCTATAAACCAATTCGAGATAAATCTTAAACTTGATAACAATTTTATGAGAAGAAATTGGTATAACTCAAATGGGCATGAGAAGGCATTACTTTGCTTAAAAAAATGACTCTATAATGCTCTTCTCCTACAAGGTTAGCACACGTTTCAGATTCAACCCATCAAGACTCATAAAGGAGAGTAGTCGATGAAAGAAGAAAAAAGTTGGAATAGTCGTGAATGCCAAATCAATAAAAAGCCATGTTTACATTTTTTATTATTCTTACATACTTATGAAAAATAAAAAAATAGAAGTATGCTTGGCAGGATAATACAATAAATACTTTCAACAATAGTTGATTTTTTGCATGTTGTAGTCAGACAATATTATATTATTTCATCACATACTTAACTTTATCTGACCCTCTATTTACTACTACAGAAAATCTTGGTCTCAAACGTTTGAAAATAATAATAATCCAGAACTGGAGTCAGAATTACAGAACTTTCAGAATAATGTACTGTAAGTCCCTGACATTATTATAGACGATTAAATTTTCACAATTCAAGATTGAAGTACATATATTATTTCTAGATGACATTGGTGTGGATCCTACACATTTCACAAACATATACTGTTTGGATTTTGAACTACCCAACAGAATAGAACCGTTATGTGAATCTGAAGAAAATATTTTTGCAGTTATTTGGAGTTTTCTGAAATATAAAATACCAAGAATATGAATATAGTAGTTTGCTTAAAATATGCTAAAAATCATTTTGTGATGGCCTTCCACATAACGGTTTTGGTGTGTTTCTCTCAATTTCTTCATGTCAGAGTAAGTACAATGTTCTCATATACATAATACTTTTTAACGCTGTGATGTAGTAATAGTCTTCATATTGATTTTCTCTACAAATGTAAATCCCAAATAACACTGCTCCCAAACACCATAACCTCAATAATCTTCTCAACGTGCGTTCTACCAACCGAGTTAGCGTCGTCACGAGACAAAGTAGACGAATTCTCAACACTGAACCTAGCCTATTTATATATGACAGAAAATACTTTCCTGGGTACAACTTGAGAATTTTTTTCATGAAAGTCAACACTAACACAGTGCTACTTTCTCGTTCAGCTTTTCCAAGATGCGATTCAATCCGTTAGCGTTTGAGTAACTTGGGTCATGCTGAAGAACAGTGAACCAGTGTTTTTTATGTTTCCCAATTAACTTATCTACTATATCTGAAGGATAGTCATTGCTTTCAGTTGGAAAGGTGAAAGTGATTGTAGCCTTCAAAATGTCTTGCTCACTTCAACAAATGTTAGGTAATTTCACAAACTACACCTAAACGATTTGATCTCCACAAACTTTATTGAAAAAATATATCACAACGTTTAGGTGTAGTTTGTGAAATTACTATGGATCTTCATCAAGTAACGGTTGAATCAATCAGAAAAAAAAATGTTAGGTAACCCTGAAAACAAGATGTTGGAAAATGAGAAGTAGGGAATATATGAAAAAAGCTGTGGGGACTATATATTCAGACTAAATGAACTATTCGAGATTGTTTCAAAGAGCTACACCGCACATTTCCGATATCACAGATCAGAAAAATCTAGTGCGGCCCAACATGCCTTGGAGAACGGTCATAGAATGAACGAACACTGTCTAAAATTTTTAAGATCAGTATATGACTCTAGACATTTGGATGTTTTCGGAAGTCTAAAAGAAGCAAAGTTTGGCAAGACAACTATGAACGGTCCTATTTCAAATAGCACATTGTTTACTTTTATATGAATGTTAAGAATTAGCAAGAACTTTCACAGGAAAATTTCCCTCCAATGAGTAGGCAAGAAATTATTGACGTGTGATCGAAATTGAAAGTTATGAATTAGTCTATTTCATTTCCTGAAGACGTCAAATTGGAGAATAAGAGTGTTTTGGTGTTTGGGAGCAATTCTTGTTTTTGATATATTCTATGTCAGAGGTTTCAGTTCTAACTTTCAGTGTACAAATGTAAAAACAGAGTGTACGGTGTGTATGGTATAAACTTCACGTTTGTCCAAGTAATCCTTGCACAAGTGTCATTGTATTTTAGTATAAGTACCACCAGAAGGAACGCTAAAAACTTAATTGTACTTTATGTATTCTTGAATGTCTCAATAATACTATACATATATCAACATAATTATTCAATATGTTGTTGTAGTGGACGAGTAGTTCTATTCAAAGTTTTGTAATAGAAAATGGAAATTCATGGTTTCTTGGCACAATACATATGACTGCTGTATTACACTCATTTCCTAATCACTCTTTCAAAAATTTCAAACATGTAGTCTGTTGATGAAAAACTATTTTTGCTGTTTCGTGGGTCGTTATCAAAAGCTCTCAGCTCACTAACGTTGAAGTAAAAAAAATTTGGAAAGTGATAAACTATGATCTGATCTCGATTCAACTGGGCTGTTTTTTCTTCTACCATGCCTGCATATTGATATTTATAAGTACCTAATTATTATACTGGATCTGTTCTTAAATACATATGTTTTCAAAGCCTCTTTCCAATAGTGTGCACATGATAACCAATAGCTTTGAGATCCTGGTGATTAAGTATTTTGCGGCCATCAAAAACATAGGCTGGTTTCATCATTTTTTGATAAATCTTCTGGTAGTCAAGATCCTGAAAAATTGTATTAGATAGTACTGGATAAAGATTACAGCAGTATATATTACTATATTATCCACTATCTACAGTTTTCATCAATATTTTTTCAAAGTACATTTTTTTGAAATAATTATAATTCATCAACTGTAAATATAAGTTTTAGAATAATATACTAAAATACTTGCAAATGACTTACAATGAATTCATCCCATTCGGTACAGACTACAATTGCATGGCAACCCTCACAAGCACTGTAAGCATCACGATGAATTGTAACATTTTTTCTTACTCTCTCAGGAGATTCACAAACTGATGGGTGGGTCAGGTCTTCAAAAATTTGATTCTCTTCTACCTGGAATATATCAATGTTTATCATCAATACCATTGTAGAATTTCTTGCCTGAATTTGTGTACTATTATTGAGGTGATTTTGTACGTTCTCGGAGAGGTCATACCTCTCTATACCAAGAAAAAAAAACTGCAATAAATATCTTACAAGATGTAACACTGTATTGGGGAAAGTATTCCAAAACATAATAATGTACACGGTATTTCATCTAAACATTGAAAGTCAATCATTTCAAGTTGCATGTTATGAAAATTAGTTGTGAATAAACCAAAACATGACTTCCACAAGCATATAGGCAAGTTTTTAAAATCAACTGTTGGTACATTGGTGTACATCGATTGATGAAAGCAATGGTTGTATATCAGATCCATCACGAAATGCCGGTAGATTGTGATGGATGGTCGCCTCACCTCGTTTTAAAACATTTGAGGTTATGGTTGCAGATGCTTACAGTCAAAAGACAATATCAACCCAATCTTTGACAAATGCTAGTTGTTTTGGTTATTTGTCATTTCTGTAATATTATGTGAAACAGAGATATGGAATTATTTCCAGTAAACATTCCAGTGAGAAAGTTATAAGATCTTTATTAACTACATGAAAAACGTTGTTGTTTACAATATAGCATATTCTGTCATGGTGAAACAGAAAACCTTCTTGATTTCAAGATGCATTTTGTTTGAGCCCAATGAATATCGAGATAATTCATTAACAATAATAATTCAATAATCACAAGTACATTGTAGAGTCTGGAAAAGTCACAGAAATACATACATAACATAACATACTTAGGTTCTTACTAATACATTACAATGGAAACAGATTCCAAACAAATTAAACGAAACCTTATTTCCAGATAATGTATGTATTTGCTGTATCATAATCATTGTTATTATAAAACGCATTACAAATTCTACCAATTTTTCCTTGATTCAAAAATCTTACTTCTGTCAAGTCAACTGGCATGTTTCAACAGTTCGTTTCATTATTCATTTGTAATCACAACCCGTTGAATACCTCAGTGACGTCATAGCCACCCATCGATGTATTTCATCGAATCGATGTATTTCATCGATGGATTTTTCATGTTGATTTTAAAAACATGGCTTATTCGACTGACCAAATTAAAAAAAAATGGATAAAAAAAACGATGTAAAATCTTTCTCATCCATAGTCAAATTATGGTTTGTAAATGTTAAATTGGTCTTATTCTTCTTCTTGCGAAAGTTTGGCTACACTCAGTATAACGATGAGATTGGAACCTTTGGTGTGAAAGTTGAATAACTTTTTTCGAGATCAATTGCCCTAACACCAAACTGATATTTTTGCACTCGACGCGCGTTTCNATAGTTGACTTATGGTAATGAAGTCACAGTATATTTTGTGTATTTGTTATTTTATGGCGAAAATCAAAAAGTTCCGTAATTACATACTACCCCGTAATAATGTACTTTTACCTTAGGTGATTTCTGTATTTTGTCAAATTCATGCCATTCATTCATTCAAATTATTACTGGAAATTAAAATGGCAATGTTTGTAAATCAAACATGCAAAACTTCAACGAAACTTCAAATAGTCTTGGTAAATGTGATTGAGATAGGATGTTGTATTTTGGGTATTTTTTTGTCATTTCAGAGATGACCGCAGATATCATTGAGATAACTTTTAAGAAGAAAATAATAAAAAAGATTCCAAGGTTTACATGGATTTCAATTCTGAAATATGTGTGCCTTGAATTGTTGCAAATACCTACTTTCAAGAAAGACTTTTCCTGTCCCACAATCGACACTAATGAAAAATTCACTATTTTATGAAAGTGAAAAACTATAAAACCATATTTCCTTGAAATTCGGAAAAATCATCTCATACAACAAAATCAGGAAATCTGGAGAGGCTCTCTAAAAAAACTAAACATAAAATAGAAGAGTCGTCCACACACACAGTCAGAATGAAGAACAACTCAAGAATTGAGGGAAAAATTTTTATCACTCAGTGTCACTAACACAACCTTTGATATACCAGGCACCTTCTCATCGTAGGTTCTTTAAAGGCCATGAAGTAACCAAATAATTCGAAGCTGACTCTACTATTCTCCCTATAAAATCGAATGAATAGCAAATGCTTTTCAATTCTCTAACTTTTGATCCTGTTAACAAACCTTGGAGGTTAGGTGGTACAGCCAGAAAGCAAGTTATCTTAATAATATGTCTTGTAACAAATTATGGAGCAACATAAGCAGAATCTGCTTCAAAAGAGAAAACAAACTCCCTTAAGCAGATTGGTCAAAGCTTACGCCCAATCGATGTTTCACCGATAACAGAGAGAAAAAAGCCCTGCATCAGTGAATCTAATGTATGATCAGGTATAGCTTACAGATATCCTCGTATGGAAAGTTTGCTGCAATCATTAGGACAACCCAATATCGACCAAACAACTGGAATATCTTCAGTAGGTATGCCATAATGGTTGCCATAGAGAATATTCCAGAAGATGGTCCACAGGTACAATTCCAGAGCTGCACATTACCGCCTGGATGGCTACAGGTTGCTTGAGAGGATCGGGAAGCCGTTGACTGGTGTGTTAGTAAATATCTTTGGGCGTCTCTCTGAAATGACACACAGGAAACCTACTTTCCAAGGTACACATTGGTGTTGCTCACCTAGCTGACGAAGGTCGCTCAGATTGATGAGCAACATATCGTCACTAGTTTGAGGAAAATGTACCATGGTATACACTCTTTGGCAGAGCAAATTCTCTGTGCCTGCCCTTCCACAGCCCGAATCCGGTTTTCAGCGTTTGCCAGAGTCCCATTCTTGCCAGCTGACCCGAAGATCACTCATTATATAAAGGTAGTAGTCTTCGTTGAAAAGATGGATACATTTAGTTTGGGTGTACCACAGGTTGCAGTGGACAATTAAATAGACCCACTTCTTTGGAACTATCTAACTTCTGGTGGGACGGTAGCCTGGTGGGTTGACGTGGGTGGTTTGCTTGACACACTCAATCCACCGCTGTGTGAACCGTTGGTTCGAACTGCATGGCCGAACGATCGATTTTCACTTCCAATCGTCCAATCTGTGTTAGGAATCACACGTTAAAAGGTAAGACAAGTTTCGACTTTTGAGAGTTTTCATTCGTAGGGGGCGACAGCTGGTTAACGGAAAAACAGATTTTAACTATATATGAAGTTTGTGGCGTGGGAAGAGAAGCATTTGACATGAGGACATTTCAACGGGTTGAGAAAAACATAATTCTAATAACTAAACTAACAAAATATAGATGAATATAAAGAAATAAAACTGACACTACTTCATTGTAGTTGACCAATTACAGTATAAGATGAAGATTTAGCATCAACGGTAGAACTCTAAAAATCAGTCGAAAATATCAGACAGCTCTCTGATGAGAAATGACACTACGCAACTGTCTTTATGAACTCAAGTAAACCAAACTTTTCAAGGGATCAGTGACACTGCTATTTGTTGATTTTCTGGGTACGAAACCTCCAAATATTAAAATACATTCCTTGATAATAGCCGAGATATACAATATGTCCAAGACAAAGAAAGTCAATGTGGCATAATTGGAAACTTTAAGAGATACAAAGTCGGTTGAATTAGAAAAGGAGTGCCCGTTTCAGAGCTCATCTGAATGACGTTTTAAAATTCACTGATCAAACGATTACGGTGACACACATCAGTGAAGTTGTCACCAAAATTAAAGTTAGTGATAATTTCTAGGCGAAGAAAAAGCGAAATGAAAATCTGTAACAGGAAGTACTGATACAAATTAAACGAATAGGTTATACATTTTTTGCCATATGAGCCCATGTGAGTGCCCTCATGATTTCTATGGAACGGTCGGGCCAACTATAAGGTAAAGTTTGTAGAGTTAACCATGTCTAGACGCCCTCACGTAAGCAGCAGATCTGACGACTTTTTTATTGTGCAAGTAGTATGTACTAGTTGTGGTAATACTTTACATGAAAATGTTTTTGGTGGAATATCTGTTACATGAACAGAGCGACTTTGAAGGCATACAGAATTTAATTTTGGACATTTGAATAAAAAACTGTTTAAAATATATTTTTCTGGTAATCAGCTAGAAACAATAGATGCATTTGGTATATTGACTGTTGTATTATGAATTTTCACCATTACAGGGCAGATGTTCAACATTGTTCATTTATCAAGTTGAAAAAAAAAAGTCAAAATACATACTAGTTTTGATAACTCCGATGACCATGTGTTGGTTGTTAGGATATTTTTTCTTGGTATCCAGTGTTCGTAAACGTTGCATAAAGCTTCAATTGCAAGTTTTCCTCCAGTACTTTCTTCACCACCAATAAGAACTCTATCAGCATTTAAAAGGTCATTGATAGCAGTACCTATAAAATATCATTCAATTAATTCATATTATGAATGTCTGAATATTTACTCAATATTGAATTCAATCAAAAATTTCATCATTTTGCCTTCTGAAGAATAAAAACTAGAGAAAAGCATTCTGCCGCCATAGGCAAAATTCCATTTGAAAATGGTGTAGGAAAAAATACTGATTGAAAAATTCTAAAGATAGTGACTTATTCTTACTTATCATTTATGCAATTGTTTTTTTAAATAACACTAACCTTCAGCTAAGAATTCGGGGTTTGAAAGTACTTGGTACTTCACTCCTGGTTTCTGATTCGCAATTAGGATCTTGGCAACACTTTCAGCTGCTCTTACAGGAACTGTGCTCTTTTCAACAACAATTTTATCACTTTGTGCTATCTCTGCAATTCGTCTTGCCGCACCTTCTACATATTTCAGATCGGCAGCTCTTCCCTGTTAAAAAAATGATGTAATTTAAATATTAATTCGTGTAAATGATAAACAAGAATGACAAACACCTAATTCAATAAAAAAATTACATGAAATGGAGAAGGAAAGAATCCACTAAAACTCGTAAGCATCAGAAACAAAAATATAATGAAAATAAATAACTGATGTCATGCTGGAGGAATCTATAGGTTAGAGTCCGAAGGTGTTTTGTAAAGTGTTACAAAAGCTGGTTGAATAACGTTTCTGAGTGGTCTTTGGGATGATGATACCAGCACGCTATTCAAAAATATATTACCACAAAAAATAAGATCTCTACCTAATAATATATTCAAAACAAGACTAAAATATTAGATCCATGTGTTGGACCAGCCACCCTACTCACCAGATCTATACCATAATTCCAAAATAGTGGTGTACGGAAATTATACTAAACAGATGAGAAAAAATAATAATAAAATATATAAAATCACGCCCTTGTTTTCGTTTTAATGCAATAATATTTCTGAGAATTTAGTGCCAACTAAAATAGAATTACTATAGCAATTTTTCACATTACTGAAATTGAAGGAAGCATTGAAGGGAACCAGGTTATAAGAAGAAACAACAAGGGGAGAAAGATAAATAAGACAAGTTGCTGAAACATCTTTCACAACAAGGGGTACATGAAGAGTACGACCAAACGAAGCACTAGAAACAGTTCAACAATTCAATAAAATCTGTTCCATGGCTGTTTACAGATGGAACACAAATGTTCCATGGCTGTAAACCTCCTATAATCGCCAAGGATGTTTACAACGAAGTATATAGTGGATTGCCCATCCCGCCTCACCCCAAAATATTGAAGATGTTAGTATTCCAAAAAACTATAGATAATTCGAAACACATTTACTAGATAAGTATCAACAAAATAATTTATTCAAGTAGACAATTTCAAAAATGTAATTTGACTCATAGTACCTAATATATTAAAAAAATATGCTTTTGGGCCCCTACCAATAGAAGATGGGCCTTGTCCAAAACAAAATTCAATATAAGCCAATGGCTGCCTATTTAATGGAATTACAGCAAACGGAATCACTTGTGGTAATTCAAACTTTACCTCATATATAGGTAATTTTTCAGAGTTCCATTGGGCTATTCTCTCTTTACTCAAATCAGCTACTGTGACTTTTATTTCCGGACACTTCAAAGCAATCACACTGCATGTTGGGCCACCTACATATCCTGCACCAAGACAGCAGATATTTGTAATTTTTGTCATTGTAGTCTAGTCTGATATTCAGAGCCCACTTTTTTCAAAAACCTGTAATAAAACAAAGTTTTTCAATTTAAAAAATTTTTAGGGTATTTTTGTTAACAAAGTTCAGAATTAGTACACTTATTAATGAGAAGGTCGCAATACATTTATGCCAAATGCCGCTGAGGATGGTCTTCGCAGTTATGGGTGAAGGGTGAAACATTCGGAGGCAATCTCGCCATTATACCACAACTATTTGACCCGAATAATATTGGTTACCATTCGATGCGGTCGTGAAAGCTCAACACTAAAATAAAAATTTCGTCACTTCGGTTGTCTCAATTGACAGTAATTTCATCAAAGAATATCAAAGCAAATATTTTCAAAATTTTATGGTATATTCCGATAATTTCGAAATTCTAACAGACAGTATGTCATTATTCAATTATTGATATCATCTTAAATCCATTTGTGATATCAAACATGTACTCGTGATAAAACATCTGATACACCTTTATATATTACTATGAAACATGAAAAGTAATTATAGGTATATAGAAACCATGGCTGTATTCACCACAAACAAACATGTTTCAAATATAGCTACTATTTGTAAGTAGGTATATTTGAAACAAGTTGGTTTGTGGTAAATAGTTGGGTAGACGATAGCTGCTTCCATATTAGAGATACAAAGAAATGTTTTAGAAAAAAGTCGTGAAGATTACAGAAAGCTACGTTTTGATAAATATTACTAACATACAGGGTGTCCAATAATTGTGTGACAGACCAAACGTATGTTTTTTTTCAAGTAAAATACTCCAGATATCTTCACTCGATTGAATTATTTGGGCAGAGTGCTTCACAAAAATATAGGGTTGTTTAGGTTTATACCGGGTGATTCAGAAGTTATAGTGAAATTTACGATTTATTATTTCAATATTTATTATTATTTCAATTATTGTTAATCATGTAGTAGGGCAAAAAAAATGTATGAATTGTTTTATTTTCCTTCTAATATAGAGTGCTACTCAACAGAAAACCTCTATTGGATGAGAGAAGTTGATAACCAAAACAGATGGTCGATAAATGTTTGGGAAGCCATAATTGGGGATCAGGTCATAGGACCATATTTCTTTGATTGGCCCCTGAATGGTGAAATTTATAGAGATTTCGTTCGAAATTATTTATCAAATTTGTTTGAAGATGTACCTATTGACACAAGGCATAGGATATATTACCAACAAGATGACGCGCCTTTCCACAACCAAAATCGGGTATGAAGGTTTTTGTACAGGTGGCGTAGGTATAAATGGATTGGAAGAAATGGACACATTCACTGGCCAGCACGATTCACAGAACCAACGACACCAGAATACATGAAAAATAGGATTAGATAAGTTTTTCAGTCTATTGCAAGATCAATTTCAGCTGAAGTTCGAAGTGAAATTGTTGATAGACTACATTCATACATAGCTTAAAATGGAAGATTGGTCTATTGTAAATTTGTGCGTTTTGAAATTGTTTCTTTTCATTTTTATACTTGTTCTGTCCAGCACTGAATGAAAAAAGTTATTTCTTCTATTTGATGACTTTTTCATACTTCTCTCATGCATTTCCGATAGAAATAAAGTGGTGAATCCCTACATTTCATTGTAACAACTATTCTGGGATTGCCCGATGTACAGGATGTTCCATTTGAAAAAACTGATTCTGAGTTTTGTTTACCCTTGTATAGAAAAAGCGTCGTTCGGTGAACTTATGGAGGAGAAATGAAATTACAATATTATCAAGGATATTTGATTGAAAAACTTCCCCATTTCATTTGATTGAGTAGGAGATATTTGGTGTTGAATGAACTAATTTTTTGACATAAATTCCACTATAACTTCTGTACATACATGCCAACATTTCCATTCTGTTATGGTGTCACATAAGCTTTTCCAAAAAGAAGTCTCTCATTTTACTTGAAGGGCGGGCTTTTGATATGAAAGATTCGATAGTATTTTAAAGCATTCCAGAACATTCCAGGACATTCTGGAATATGGAGAAATACATTGGAACGTTTGGGGAAAATCCTGGAACTTTCCAAATCATTAAGAAACGATCAAGAGAGTTACACGGTGTGGTAGCTCCCTAGTCACCATCTGAGAAGGTTTCAGTTTTTACTTAAGAGCGTGCTTTTGAAAATTAGAACCTTGAGACAACACAGAACAAAAATTCAACATGGTCGCACCTGCTTATCAGACAGCTTGAATTTATTTTCTCGAGCGATGATTCCAATTTTGCGATAACTCTTAAGATATGAATTTGAATGGGAAACCCACTGTCCTTATTCATAGCTAATATTTTCAGATATGAACTGGAAGCAACAGTGGAGTTCCTTCCACAAACTTGAATTCGATATGTATATTATGTAATTTCGATTTTTTGCACAGACAATTGAAAGGTCCATAACAAAAAATGGCGGGACTGCTTTCTTGGCCATAGACTTGTTACGAATTCATTCTATATGAGAGGTTCCAGTGAGACCTTACAGTTTATTTTGACTCTTCACCGACTCAATTGCATTCTTTCCACAATTATATAAGGTGGTAAAAAGTTACTACCAATTGCATCGTGACATTTTAAAAGTTTTCCTGCTAACTATCTAGTTAAACAAAAAATCATAATAAGAATTTTTCATTCCTAATATGACGTGATGAGGTGACGTCACATTATAATTTTATTATAATTTATAGTGAGCCCACGTACTAACTTAGAAATTAGAAATTTATAAAATTTATTTTTATCTGTGTATATGACTGAAATCGCATTTTTCTCAGTGAATTAAGTTGTTTTGATATTTACTTTAGTGTTGAGTTACTATACCGAACCTCAAAGGTAAGTATCGCCGTTATTATCGCTTCTCTGGTTCACCATGGTTCATAATTCTNCTCATTCCTTACTCCGTTCTTTCCAAGTTTCTTTTCAATTGTATGAAATGGGCATTTTTTGAGTATTTTGGATAAATAAATATTGAATCAAACTGTTAATATTCCTCTCATAGGTATATGTTAAAGTTTCAACTCAAATCTCAAGCCAGACAACTGCTCAGACCTGTGTATTCTAGACTAGAATACAACTCCGATCGACTAGAATTTCTAGTCCATTACTGCCCTTCTGTCTTTCTTAAGTAGGTACTGGATACCATATTCTGTTTACACATATATCGTACCCTTTTCTGTTGAAATTATTGGGATGCTAATAGATCTCAATGGCCTCCCTATGAAATCGTATGAGTATTCCGTTCAATAAGACAGGACAGCAGTTACTCTGTATTTTATTACGTGGTGTGTTTCCACTAGGAACTGTTCTGCAATAGCGGACTTATCCGATTGTATGAGACGGCAGCTATGCTTGTGCTCTTGTATTCTGGTGTTGATGCTGCCTTTGGTAGTTCCGATGTAAATTGAGCCACAGGGACAGAATTCTGTAAACACCGGCGAATGCCAGAGGCTCTCTTATATCCTTGGCCGATATGATAGTGTTATGTAGTTGATTATTTAGCTTGTAAATGGTCCTAGTCCTAATGTTGTTACTTTTAAATAGTTCTCCAAAGCGTTCCGTGCCTCATTTATGTGAGGCAAGTAGACTGTACCTACCACTGGAGGCTGAATCGTGGTCGAAGTTGGAATTCTTTTCTTCTAGGATGTAGAGCACGTTTGATTCCTCGCTCTTTAAAACCATTAGCCTGTAGAGCATGGTCTAGATGACAAAGTTCTTCTTTAAATAAATGTGATTCATAAATCCCGGTCGCACGATCAACAAAATTTCATTATATCACCTTTTTTCCCTGGATGGTAGTTTAAGAGTTCTTGTTAAGATGCCAATCACTATGAGTAGGTTTGCCATGAACTGTGTGACCTAGTTTTCCGTCAGGTTTGTTGTTCACCAGTACCTCCAAAAAGATACCATTTTGAAATGTACTAAATGGTATTTTTTTATAGAGAGGAAAAGGGGACTTTTTACATCTGCACTGTATAGTCTGCCCAAAAAATACAATATTTTCAAATAGTAATAAAAAAATAATCATCTTTCATACTTAAAACTTTATCGAGTTTTTGCAAATACCTTGAGAACGAAAGTATTTTAGGTATAGACATCCAGATAATTTTCACTAATATCGACTCAATNGGCAAAATTCGATTTATTATAAAGGTATCAAATTTCACAATGAGCTACCGAATGCTTTAAAAAAAAATTAATAAACAAAAATTCCGGAATAATTTTAAAAAATATTCATTGTTTGAATACATTTGTGTTCATGTTAATAATGATGTTCAAACATATATGTATGTATATATGTGTGCATATGTGTATATGTATGTATATTTATATTTTGCTTTAAGTTTCAGTTATGATTTATCTTTTTTTGTGTGCTCTGTTCGTAGTCAGTTATATTATATTTAGTTTTTTTGAATTATCTTTTTTTTTCCTGCCATAAACATTTTATGTTCCTTGGGAAAGTAAATTGTTATTATTAATTCAAATTCACAAGCCAGTTTCCAAAGTGAAGATTATTTTCTCCAAGCAGACGTAAATACGTCAAAGACGTCACGTGTCATCAGAGTGAATTTGTGAGGAATTCAAGACCTGATAATCATATCTCATTTGGGATCCTGCCGGAGGTATTGTTTAAAAATTCGGCTTTCATTTGATACCACCGTGCAAAATATAGGAACGAATTCAGAACTGAAAGAACCAGTTTTGGCAGCCATCCAAAATTCAAAACCAAAACGATAAATGATTTGTAGACTAATTCTAGCATATACCTACATTGAAAACAACCTATACAAGACATGTTCTTTTCGACTTCAATGAATCTGAGAAACAAGTCCAATCATCTGACATTCGAAATAATGCATGACTTGTTGTAAGTTTTAATTTTAATTATTACCTGATGATAATAAATTGACTAGCGAAACGAACGCTGTGACGAAAAATTGTTTTCATTAGGTTTATTTCACGCCAGAGGTTCCAATTCCACCTGATGTGAAATATCTATAGCCGCACGTAAAACCGATTGCTGGAGTGGCGACGCATGCCATGGCGACGGATTGCCATGCGCAAGCGACTGTGCGATTCTCTTCCCACTGGTTCCGCGTTACGCCATCTCTCTCGCCACAGTATTTACTACAGTATACATGTTAATTTCTTTAAGAATTTTCTCTCAAAATTAGAGATTATTTCATCTTTATTTGTACTAGTTTTTAGAATCTCTGGGGCTGTAATAGTAATAAATTTAAACTGATACATAAAACTGATGAAAGATTCAACCGACAGTGATTATATTACAAAACTGATAAAAGTTAGAATATATCAGTATATTTTGGTATCTTAGTATGAAATTTATTACTTAGTATATTGAAGTTGATTCGTTTATTGTGCTAATGTATTTTGAATCTGACCACCAAAAGGAAATCCTCATAGAATTTTTAATAAGCATTATGCCTACTTAGGTAGGTATCGTTTTTTCTCAAATTCGTTCATCACAGTAGTGATCAGAATTTCTTCACATAATTCTACGGTATCGTTTATATTTAACTAATCTACTCACCGACTATATATCCGATTACTAAAAACAGAAACACTTGTGAACGTTTATTACACGTCACTGCATCATCTAACATAAACCGACAGAGATTCCGTTTTCCAACTTCAGCGAATCGACTGTCAAAAAGGAATGAACAAGTAACTCGAGAAGCATTTTCGACCAACTAGCGAGATGTGGGCTTTCCGGGAATATTATACGAGATAAGCCTATTTAGTTGAACAATCTGCTTTTAATGAATAACAGCTTTGAACATAAAGTTGAAAATGTTAGCGGTAAAATAACAAACGTGTCTCGAATAACAGACGCGCCAATACGAATCCAATGTTGAGGTTACGGTTAGGCGTTGAACCACAGTTGAACTGTCTGTTCATTGTTAAATTATCGAACGGTCACGTTGAGACTACCAGGTAGCAGATAATATTTATCAAAGTCTGCAAATTTTAATATGTACTCTTTTATAGACATGTCAATAGGTAGGTATTATGTTAAGTTTCAATTAATAAAATGTACATATTATACGAGGTATGTGGTATGTTCAGTAAATAACAGGAATTAGTAAATTCGTGAGTTTGAATACTCCATTGTAATTTTATTTATTATGTTAGTATACATAATCCTGAATGATAAAATTTTCAGCTGTGGCAGCAGATAAGGTAAGACGTATTTTTAAAAGCTCGGCGATTTTCGTTTATGAAAACAAATGACTTTATAGCAAATGTTGTGTGTAACAAATTGTGTGGAATGTTAACAAAACCAATACCGAGTCTTCTATGAGTAAAAGAAGAGTTTACGAGTGGTTCAAGCTTTTCCAAGGTGGTCGTGAAGACGTTGATAATGACAAACGCCCCGGATGCCCCAGCACATCAACAACCGATGAAAACGTGCAAAAGTGAAAGAAATAGTTATGAACGATCAGCGAATCACGATCAGAGAAGTCGCTGATGATGTTGGCTTATATCGATTAGCTCGTGCCATGATTTTTTTTGGAATGTTTTTGTATAAAACGCATGGCAGCAAAATTTGTTCCAGAATTGTTTAATTTTGAATAAAAACAGCAGCGACTAAATGAAGTCAACGACGGAGCAAAATTACTGGAACGAGTTATAACGAGACATCAAAACTAAGACTCATCGTCCCTGTGGAGGCATTCTGGCTCACCAAGTCTGCATAAAGATCAACAAATGGTCAAACGCGAAAGTTATGCTCACTGTGTTTCACGATGTTAGTGGCATAGTTCATCATGAATTCTTGATACGAGATGAAACGGTCAATGCCTAAATCATTGCGTAAAGCAATCCGAAAAAGTGCACGGATTTGTGGAATAACAATTCATGGTTTTTGCACCACGAAAATGCACCTGATAATGCGCCAGACATGGCTCAGTGTGACTTTTTCCCATTTACAAAAATAAAGGTAGCCTCAACGAGCCGCTGTTTCATAAGCATTGAGGACATTAAAAGCGCACCGCTACTGGAGTAGTAATCAGTAAACCCAACAATATTATTTCAACAAGCTATATAGTATGCTATTTGGTATTGGTCCGTTGTCGTTATTCATAATATTATTATGTTTACTTATTTCCACACTCTCATAGGCATCTAGTTGCCTGTTGTTGTTAACTTGTCTAACTAATCTTAATGAACTGAAGTCTATGGAATGGTTTTGTTGCAAAATATGATGGGCGACTGCTGATTTTTCAAATCTTCCATATTTTAAGTGTGCTATGTGTTCCTTATATCTCACTTTAATAGATCTTTTTATCTGTCCATAATATTTTGCATCGCAGTCCTTACATTCAATTTCGTAAATTCCAGACTTTTGCGAATTCTCGACTTTGTCTTTTGGACTATTTTGAAAGCGACAACATTAATGTAGACGAATAATTAATATTTTTTTCAAAAACGAAATGTTCACAAATGGACGAAGTGATTTAGGAGAATAGTTTGTACAACTCATTCATGTTTTTTGTGAATTGGTCGACATATGACAATATCATTTATGAGTACTTGAGCTGTGGTGCTACTCTGCAAGCTTTCACCAAAAATACTGCCTAATTCCTTCGAGATATAACAAAACAATCCATTACATAGTGTCTTTGTTTTAAGAATAGTTCCCACCCATTTTGAAGTTTAAAAAATGATCATATATATGAAATGGTAATGGGAAAGCTATTTAGACGGATATAATATCAATTGGATAATATATAATTGTTACCTCAAGCATTTCATGTACATTATAACTGTGCTTTACACGAGGAGTTCTCAATTTTATTTGGCCATGGAACCCTAATCGAGGATACACTTTTTGATGCAACCCTAGCTGATTATTTCGATTACTAAAGTGTTCACATAGCAGTTTTGAATATACTCATGTTATTACTCGAAAAAAGAAAAAGTTCTAAATGAAAAAAAAATTATAATGTAATGTAACTATTCAATGTACTAGTAATAGTAAAATTAGGCTTTATGTCCAATATTTGGATGCGAAGATCCGAATCTGCGTCCAGTCTGTTTCTGTACTTATTTTTTGTGTAAGCTTAATCTGAAAATCCAGTCTCGCATCGGTAAGTCGTCACAAATGGAAGCAGAACTAAGATAGCTTTTTGAATAATTGCGGGGTATTAATATCTTCGACAGAGTGTGCGGAACCCTTGTGACCATTTTTCGGAACCTCAGGATTCCGTGGATCACCATTTAGGATTCTAGGCTTTACAACATACAATTCAAATTAAAACTATAGCGTAAAGAAATAAATTCAAGTGGCATAACAAACCAATTCGACACGTGTCATGAAGAAAGGTTGCAATTTCGTTTTTACATTGTGAATCATTTTAAAAGTTTGGGCCGCCTTTTTTGTTGTGTTTTCTTTAGGTGAATAAATATAACGGTGTTATTCCTGCGAAACCGGTAGCCTTCATTGAAAACGCTGTCTAATCTCTTTGAGATATACCAAAGTAATTCACAACATAAGTCTACAGAAAAGTCCCGTTGGCATATATCAATCTTTTGAAGGTAGCTTGCGTACTGTACCGTTTTGATATAAAAAAAAATCACAAATATCGTGGTAATTGAGAAGCTATTTAGACTGATACTTTATCTTATCGAATGCATTAGTTGCATCATACATTTCATGCAAGTTATAATTTCCTCTCATATCCTAGAAACTATCGCAAAATTTAAACTATCGCGCGACAAAATTAATTCGGCAGTCTCATACGCGTGATGAAGAAAGATTGCAATTTTCATAGTTTCAAGTAGTGAGTCATTTTAAAAGTTAGGTTCTCATTTTTGTTCTGTGTTGTCTCCATGTAGATATTTCAAAATCGATAGTTGTGAGCATATTTTTTTTTATGGATTTTATCAAAGGTCATGATTATTAGTTACGAGCTGAGAAGCTGAGTCGGATCGTTAGTATGTTATAAAACTAAGCTCTCCTCACTGCGTCTGTCCGAACGCGACGGATTTTCATGCGGTTTTTCAAATGGACGGAGTGATTCAAGATGAAAGTTTATATGTATGTCGAATTCTTTTTTGAAATTCGTTGAAATGTTACTCGATGCTACTGGTGTGAAGCCGGGGCGACTCGATAGTGTATAACGATACTCAGTTTCAGAGACGTATTTTTTCATTTACTGAAAACTCTTGTGAGAAGCTTCATTACTATCTTTACACAAGAGCCTAAAGCAAGCCATGTTCATTCAAATCAACATATTATATTGTAAAATTCACATGTTTATCTGTTAATATTATCAGCAATAGCCTTCGCTTATTTATATAAGGGGAACTATAATTCCCATGATTGTCGAATACTTCATATCGTACTTAATAATATTTGGGATATATGTTAATCTGCGATCTACTGAAGCATGTAGAAATGAACATAGTTGAAAGGTGCTCACCTGTTTTTGTTCGGTGGTGCAAGGAATGAGATGTTCCAAATAGCTGCTGTGTGGGGAACTAGTATTCCTATTACATGAACGTCTGATAAGAATTCCAATTTCATAGATTGCGCGATGAATACAATTCCATATAATCCCATGCACCTCATTAAATTTATTTCGCAACTGGAGATGTCACGATGTTCCTGGTATTTTTGTTCCAAAATAACCAGTAAACGTTTATTTTTCATTCGTCAGTGGATTAGAGAAGAATGATATCGTTTTATTATTGACGCTATTTAAACACGAGAATAATGATAGATACTATTATTTACACAAAAGTTTGATATCAATAAGCAGAAACTCGTTTAACTCTTTTTTTAAGGACAAAACACAAGCACTACAGGAAAATCCTTAAGGCGCTCTCAGAGTGGTGCCTGTGGGAAAGTAGCGATTCACATTGGATTTGAATCGCTGGAGATTAAATGCATTTGGGAAAACATTCTCAGGAAGTTTATTCCACATGAACGCAGTTCTCCAAATGAAAGAGTTTTTAAACAGTAAAGTTTGAGGTGTACTGAGTTGAACCTCAAAACGATGAGCAGCCACAGTCAGTCGCATATTTATGATATGTACCGCCCTTGGTGGAGTCAAATGTGCGGAGTCACCTGAACACTTCGTATGTATAGAAAAGAGACAACTCTCCAACCTTTCTTCGATGTTGGAGGCAAAACTCCATACATGAGAACAATATTCCAAAGAAGGTGTGATCTGAGCTTTATAAAGCATCAAAAGTTGCTGAGATGTGTATAGTTTTCTGGTTTGGAACGGTGTTCCAAGCTTTTGAGAAGCAGCCTTTGCAATTCCAGTGACATGATTGTGCCCAGACATATTGGTGTCCATTTTAACTCCCAACAAACTTATGGAAGCAAAAAGCGGAATTGTCTGACCTGACATTATTATATCCGGTTCGGATACATTTATCTTCTTGGAGAAAACCGATGCCTGGGTTTTTGTGGAATTGAATTGAACCTGGTTACTTTCACCCCAATTCGAAATCACTTCTAGACCCTCATCAAGATATGCAACCGCCTGCTGCCGGTGAAGATGTGCTTCCGTAGCGGATGTCCAGGAGTCCAAATGGAATGACGAGACAAGTGTGCTGTCGTCAGCAGAGCAATATATTGGATTTTTGTTTTTTTCCCAATAAGTCGTTGATATACAATAAAAAGAGGGTTGGACACAATATGGATCCCTGCTGGGGAACAACAGCGTTGATGGTGAAAGTATTCGACAGATATCCATCGAAGGCCACTTGCGGAGAACGTTCTTTCAGGAAGTTGGAGAGCCATACACAAAAATGATCCAACTAGCCATAGCACCGAAGCTTGGCCACCAAACCCTCATGCCATACACGGTCAAAGGCCTTAGAAATATCAAGCGCAACAGCTCTTGATTCTTCATGTTCCTCGATTGCATTATTCCAAATATGGGTGACATACGATGAAAGGTCGCCTGTTGATCTTTGTTCCCGAAAGTCATATTGATGATCGCTCAAGATGTTGAAGCATTCCAAATATTTGAGAATATGGTGGTTTACGACTTTCTCCATGATGTTTGATATCATTGATAGCAAAGCGACTGGTCTATAGTTATTTGAAAGATTTTTCTGGTACTTTTTAAGTGGGCTGAACACGAACAATCTTTCAACAAAAAGGAAAGACCCCTTTCTTGTAAGACATGTTGAAAAGTCTGCAAAATACTGGTGCGAATTTATTTGCGCACTTTTTGAGTATTANCATCATACATTAGTTTTGAGTAATTTTTAGTAATTATTCTTATATGTAGCAATGTTATGATGTGTTATGCTTGTGTTATAAGAAAAACTGTATATGTATATGTTGAAATTGTATATGTTCATGAATTGTGACTTGCCAGAAATGTTTTCAACATAACGTAGTCAAATGAAGTATCTATCTATCATCATTTAGAATACTTAGAACACGTTTCAGATGGGCTCATAATTCATTTCCGGTGTTATATAAATGTTAACTAGTTTGAATTATTCCAGTATTCACATCTATCAAAGAACATGACAAATGTGATGACAATGTTATATATTATAGTACTACAGGTATAAAAGACTAAATAATAGAATGTTTTTGATGAACATAGAAATTTTCGAAATATTTTTCGTTTTTAATTACCTATACTCATACTTCACCTCACCACATCTCAATCATATCTAGGTATATACAGTCTGTAAAATACAAGGAGGGTCATCATAGGAAAATGAAAACTTTAGGAAATTGAGATGAGTGTTAATTGCTTTTTGGCATCTCTTTAAATAACGACAGAAAAAAATTAATACGAATTGGCGAAGTTCTTTTTTTTTATTTTTCCAGAAATAATGGAAATTTCAGAACGTCATTCAAATAAGCTCTAAAATGGTCAATTTTTTTCTAATGTAACTAACCTTGAACGGTTTCAGATTTTGCCATTCTGCCCCTCCTTATCTTGGACAGGCAGTATTTATTGAATAAAATTCGTAACCTTACACTGTGAACAAGAAATGAACATCTGAAAAACAAAGTCTGCTGAGATACGGTAATATGGTGCCGATGCGCTATTGTCCGTATACCAAGATTGAATTTAATTTAACGGCGATTATTTCTTAATCGACATATCAAGGACTTTACCGACTGAACAAAAATAAATTGTGTTTTTGTCGAGTAATAGAGATTCAGAAAATTTAGATTTCTGAAATGAATTGAAATTATTGGTCAAGATAGATTATTGGAAACAACTTTATGATAAGTTACAGTGCACCATTTTTTGCTATCTTTTACATGTTGCAGCTCTTCTGGAAAATACCGTGAATGTTGTACAATTTCAAATCGTATTATTGATATGAAAAAATCCGTTCGTTTCATCGATTAGCCTGGAAAGCATAGTCAATGAAGATGGAAAAGTGAAAAAGAAGATCAGGATCGTCTATGCAATATTTTATACAATAGAGGTATTACAAATACACCGAAAAATGAGCTCATTATTCTATTCTTGATGCATTCATTAAACTAAAAACCTATATTTTATATTTTTAGTAGACAAAAAAGATGAAATATTTGAATTCATAAACATGCAAATGGATAATACTTAGATATGATATGTGGTGGAATATATAGTCCTGTTCAATTACATTTCAGTCGCTTCAAGTGAGTTATTAAAATTTTCTTGTCTTCGCTATGTTTCACACTGAGATCTTGAGACACATAAATCTTCTTACCCTTCAATTTATAGCAATTTTGTAGAACGTATTTGAGAGTGAAGTATTTACGTTTCTGAACGGATATATATCGTTTATGTCTCGCACTTCCAGTTCTATGCCGAGAAGATGAGACAATGTTGTTACAAGTGACGCCAGAGGTTCGGAGTTGTGGTTATTGTTTTTTCTCAGTATCCTACCATAACTATTACATCGATTCTCCAGTTGTTCAGCTGTCTCTTCTAGTGCCTTTATTCGTTTGTCATTATTTTCTAAGAGTTCAGCTAATCTCTTATTTTCGTTTTTGATTTCCGATGTAATCTCTTCTTTATTATTTTATCCTTGCTCTTTCTCTATGATGTACAAACTATCCAGCAACGCTTCATTTGATAAATCTTTCGTCATAGTCTTTGGTGAAATATTCACAGTAGCAAAAAGTTACTGGACTATTTGTTTGCAATTTTACATTCACTCGTCATTTGGGAGAAATATTGAACGTACCTTGCTGCTTTTTTGAATGTGTAAAGGTGCGTATTCACCAAAAAAGCGAGCACGAGCGAGCATGAGTGAGCATTCGTGTATGTTTGCTCGTATTCACTCGTGTTTGCTCGACATATTGATGTCTCGTCCACACCAGAGCGAATATCTTCAAGTTCGTAGTCGTAGTTGATCCATCTACTTTGTGCGATCACCTTTTGATGTACCGCCTTCTTCTCGATCTTTTCTGCGAACAAGCATACGTTCGCTCGCTCGCTAGCCCATACTCACCAGACGATTATTGATGCAGAATGCTCATTCACTCTTGTTCGCTCGTGCTCGCTTTTTTGGTGAATACGCACCTTAAGGAATGTTAAGAATCACAGCCGTATGGAATTTTGTTAATTTGCAGTAATTACTGCAAGTATATTCACGAAATTAATAATAACTAAACTCACAGTAATGAATTTAATCCAGATCGATTTTAAACGTTTGTTTTTTTTTGACTCCAAAAGTAAAAAATCATGATCCACGAAATTTTGGCTTACAAAATTTTAATGTTATCAGAAGGCCATCAAGTAAATGTATTTAAGAACAAAATTCTTTTCATATATTTAAACTTCTGATGAATTATCTAACACACGGTTTTTAAAAAATATCAAATAAGGTTCTCTAATTCAACGCGCGTTTCACCCACCAATTTACTTCTATAAACATGCTAAAAATGTATTCAAGTAACACTTCATTGTGAGACTGTTTACGAAACCGCAACACATGTTTCGCTATACAATAGAATCTTACCTCGAACATCACACGGGTGATGACTGTTATCAACCGAAGTAACTTGGCTTGGAATCCTTTAATTTTAATTTCTTGTTGATAGTTTTTTAATTTTCATCTCGTGTTTATAGTTCAATCATAGTAAAAATCAACCAGTAAGTCCACTCCAACTACTCTCATTCATAAATTCACAAAGTTCTCGGTGACCTCGAAACGAAATGCGGAACCAATTTCGTTCTTATAGCATAGGCGTGCGCTCATATAAAAACTAAATTTGAGGGTATTATAGAATATTTCGTGATAAATTACTTATAACCAAGTGCAAAAACTAAACACAATAATAACAACAGCGAAGAAACTAAACACAATATCATTTTCCGACCGTTTATTATAACTAAGCTGATGTCCGTGGTACCGTCAAATCCTTCGATACTACAGCACTAAACGCGTTGGATGAGAATTTCATCCTAAGAGCAGTTGAAGGTCTCCGGCAACTCGGGCGGATCACGTGGTGAAAGAGCCTACTGGTTGTATTATTCTACAGTGGTTCAATTTCTGATTGTTNCTAATGTTCGCTCGTGTTTGCTCGACATATTGATGTCTCGTCCACACCAGAGCGAATATCTTCAAGTTCGTAGTCGTAGTTGATCCATCTACTTTGTGCGATCACCTTTTGATGTACCGCCTTCTTCTCGATCTTTTCTGCGAACAAGCATACGTTCGCT